TAATATTGTTTTATCAAAAATTTAAATCTTATTAATAATATAATAAATTATTGATTTGAATATAAAAATTTTATAAAAATTTAATTATAAAAATATAAAAAACTGAAATTAGTGTAATAATTATTAATAATTAGTGTGAGATTAAATGATATAAAATATAAAATAGAAAAATATAATAATTAAGTATATTAAAATTTTTTAATGATTAATATTAATATTTAACTTATACACAGTTTAAATATATATATGAAATAACAATTTTAAATAATAATTTGTTTTACTATCTAGCAAGTATGGATGATTTCATTACAAACAATTCTTTATGGACATTAGAGTTGTTACCAGCCTTTGATGATGAAACTTCTGTTGAAAATTTGATCGAATTGCCTACATCTCCTGAGGGAACAGATACAAAATCAAAAAATGTAGAAATTACAGAGAATAAATGTAATGATTCAAATAAAAATAAAAAAAATGAATTTAGCGATAATGTGAAAGTAAAAGATTTAGAAATGGAACTTGTTGAACCAATATTAGTAGAAAAACGTTTTACTGCAGTAACGCTTTTATTAGAACTTAAAAAATTAATTGAAACAGAAAATAATGTAGAAGCAAATAAATTAGTGAAAAATTTGGAGAAAGCTTTAGGCATTAATTGTGAGAATAATACTGAATTATTGACTACTTATCTTAATGCAACTAATAATTTAGCAAAAAGTCCAGAAAAATCAAATAATAATTTGAATATGATAAAAAATGTAGCAGAACATAGTATGGAACACAGTCAAGAAAATAATTTAATTAGTAATTCTATAGAAAATATTAAGGAACCAGAATTTTTTGAAAAAACAAGCTCTAATGCAAGTAAATGTATTGACAATCAAAAATATTTAAATAATGTAAATTATAAATCAAAATGTGAAACTCCAGAAACAGAAATATATATTGAAAAGATAAAGAAAGAAAAAGATGAAAATGAAATTATTTCCCATAATAATGAAAATTCTTACAAACAAGAAAATAATTTAATAAATGAAAAGATGGTAATTGAACTTCTTGCAAATATAGGAAAGTTATTATGTGAACAGACTGATGAACATCCAACTTTGAATGTACTTAAAAATTTAGGAAAAGTATTAAATTTTACATCTAATAATTGTAATGTTGATAAGAATACAAAAAGTAACAATGCTTATATAGAAATTCAACAAACTCCAAAGAAATCAAAATTAAAATTTGAAAATGAATCTCGATCATTATACTCAAATTCTACTAACAGATTAAGTTTAAGTTTAGAATCAAAGGTATATATAAAATTGAAAATTTTAAAAAAATTTGTAAAATTCTAATAAATTTCTTGTAAAATAATTACTAATATTTGTTACAGAAGATATCAAATAATAAAAATTTTATTAGGAGAAGTGTATCTGTATCTCAAACACCGCCATTTAAAAATGAATCTAATTTATCAATGTTTAATAGTAAAAGTACATCTCAATTAAAAGAAATAACAAAACGATTTTCTAGTGATCCTAGTTTTACAAAACCAGAATCAAATAAAGAGATTATTACAAATAATGATAAAAACATATTACAAAAAGGTAATTATTTATTTTTATATTAAAATAATGTTAAGAATAATTGATTTACTAATAATGATATACTAGTTATTTATAAATAATTAATATGGTGATAACCATAATTATTAATTAGATTTACAGAGAGAAAAATCTTCTACAATAAGTACTGTTAGAAATAAATTTAAGAAAAAAGTTAATACTAATATCATAAACAAAAAGGGTCCAATGAAAGCTATTCTTCCTATAGGAAATATGCAAAAAAGAGGTATAGCTAAATAAATTAAAAAAGAAATATAAGATTTATATTTTCTCTTCAATATGTATTTTTTTTTTCAGAAACTATTAATAAAAAATTAACTTCATCTATTGGAACTACAACACCACCTCAGTCTCATAAAATAATTAGTAGTACTCCTAATTCCACAAATAATGAACTTTTAGCAAAAAAATCACGATCTGCGAAACCAGTTGCTTCGTCAACTCCAGATGCTCAAAATTCTAAAATACAAAAAGCACAATCACAAATAATTAATAGTCCTAAAAAACGTAACTTTTCCTGTGATATTTCACCTGTAACTACACGCATAAATATTAGTAATTGCAATGGAATGAGTAATAATTTACAAAGGTAAATTTAACTTTATAATATCTAAAAATATTATAACAATATAATAACAATATATAACAAAGAAAAGTAATTTATCTTCTAGAAATACTAAATTACCATCTCCAAAGAAAACAACACCTAAACGCCGAACAACAGAATCTGGTATTCCAAAAATACAGACTCCACCTATAAACAAAAGTTTAAATTCTTCGTTTGAAGTTAATCAATATGAACGTTTATATGAATCTCCGAAACGTTCAATATATAAACAATCAAATTCGCAAAAAAATTCGCCAATTTCTTTTAAAAATAACGGAAATAATATACAACGAAGTCCATTAAGAGATAATAATAAAATTGTTCAGAAAGTAAAACCGATAAATTTGGTATATATAAAATTATATTTTAATAATAAATTATTTGAAAATAATAATTTAATCATAACTTATTTTTTAACAGATTTCGAAACTTCGGCGCTATAGTAATTCAAATATAATGGACAAAGAAAACAGTTACGTTTAATTTATAAAAAGTTCTGTTATAATTAATACTTGTGTTTTTAAACGTTCGTAACATTTATTACAATATGTGAACTTTTTACATTTATGTTTTGCAATAAAATATTTGGAAAATAAATAATATGTAGTAATTATTTTCTTTTTTTTTTGTTCATTATTTTACAAGTTATTATTTTAATATATTAGTTATTATTTTAATATAAAAAATTATAATCAATATTTTCTTAAATAAAAATATTGAGAACAAAATATTTTAATTATTATTAAATATTCATATTTTCATAATTAAAAATTGTAGACTTTTTTGTTTCTTAATTGCTTTGTAGTTTAATACTTTTATAAAGCATGATTTTACATATCTCAAAGCTGTGAATTACTAATATCATATTATAGAAATAAGAATATTTAAATGTGCCACGTGCAATGCATCTTAAGATTTGCTTATGATCTGTTGCGTCAGATCCGTCGATCTGAAAACAGGCTCAAAAGAGAGCTACTCGGCCGGGAACGAAGACAGCAGCGCTCGGGAATGGCCGATACGTCACGGTCGTTTCTAAAATCAAAGATGCAGTAACGTATCATATATAAATCATAAAAAAAATATTGTTAGAAAATAACTTTTATTTTAATTTCAATTTATAAAAATTATATCTATTTTAAATGCATATTTACATGAAATTATTGTTAAATTTGATAAACATATCCTATTATAATGAATACATAATAAAATGTGTAAAAAAAAATTAACAATTAAAAATAAAATTTTTTAATTTTTTGTGCAAAAATTACTTATAGTTTACGAAATAATGCATTCTATTAATTTATTTAAATAAAATGTTGTTAAAACAATGCAGATGAACAGTGATAACTAATTGAAAAAGAAAAAAAAATATAAGAAGAAATGATGTCGGCAAAAGCGATGCGCAGAAGCCGGTTTCCATAGGGTACTAACAAAGATATTGCCGCACCTGCACGGACCCGTCCCCGCAAAAAGTGCGCTCCGCGTGTTCCGTACTCCAGCGGCGGTTCGTCCACACTCGCGTGTAGCCGCACCCGGCTTGACGCTCCTCGGTTTTGTAGAAATAACTTTTAGAAGCAGTTGCGAAGAAAGTTAATCGGTAATGCAAACAATTCTTTAAGAATTGTTAGAAGTGACAGTATCAGTGAGGTGAAGTGCGTCACAGTTTCTGTGAGTTCGATCTTTTTGGGCGTTCTGTACAAGCAGAGCCAGCGCGGCGCGCACGAGAGGCCGCCTCTAGAAAAAGAGCGCGTCTCACGCGTTGCGCTACATTGGAGTATGCGATGTTCGCGAAAATATCAGAAAAACGTTTGAAAAGATAAAAGTGTATATATTAACTAAAAACAATTTGTAATTGTGCTTTACTGTTTTTGAAAGTGTGAATTTGTGAGGATTTTTGGCCGGTCGAACCGGGAGTAAGAAAAGAGGCTGGCGCGCACCGAGGCTACCTCGGGAAAAGACCGCGTCTTGCAGGTTCGTGGTGTGTTACGATAGCTATTGTGTGACACAATTGTCCAGGCTTATCGACATTCTTAGAATTATCATATGTGTCATCGTATATAATAAAGATGATAGAACTATGAAATATTCTGCGAACAGTCTGTGCACAGTGTCAATGCATATGAAGGTATACGGGAATCGCAACCGGCAGCGATATATCCCGCGTGGTACGTATACGCACGTAACATACATTTAAGTTCGATACGTATGTGTGGCATGCACATTCATAAGGACTATGGACTCGTGAAATCGTTGTCGTTGGTCGCGTGTATCGAAGTGGCCTGTCGCGAAGCGCGTTTACAGAGAGATCCAACACTGTGGAAAACTTAACGAGAGAGAGAGAGATCAGAAAGAGGAGAGGTATTCGTTGTTCGACGATTGGCGCGTGGCGAAGACATTCGACGGTCACTTGGCACGTATATAGTGTAATTATTTCCCAGTTATCCCATTTTGTCTTTGTGAAGAAAAATATTATTTATGGGTATATGGATCGGTGCATTTTCACGAGCGAAACAAAAGAGGAAGAACAAGCAGTTTCCAACCAATACGAAAACCGTTCTCTTTGTTCGGTATTGCGATACCTCGCTAACGATTTGTTCGAATTTTAAATCGTGATTCACGACGATTACCGGAAGGAAGTTACCTATGTGGATACTAGAATATCTTAACATCGTAAAAAGTGCGTACAAAGGGTGTGAAATGCGTCGCGCTGCAGTTCGATGTTCGATCCAGTAGCGGCGGACGACCTGACTTTGTTAGATTGCTTCTCGACGTGTACACCTCTCGGCTTTAGTCCAACAATGGATCAGCACAGTTACAGTATACAATTCGAAATTCTTTTTCGGTAGCGGATAAAACGATAAAAAGTGATCATTCGCGTGCTCCATTCTGAGCTGCGTTTAATCGCTTTACTCAGTGATTAATGCTAAACATTTAGTAGACATTTCGCGCGTTCCGAATGCGCCATAGATTTTGTACATTATTGACTTTGTCGATCCGTGCAATCGATAATATTGCATCACGTTAATGAGTTTCTTCAGTTGTGTTATTTTTTCATCCAAGCTAAGTTCGTAGAATTAAAAAGCTAGACAAACATATATATTGAAACATTGAGATATGTGCTTTTATTATAACATATTACTTGACTTGTTTATATGCGTAAGAACAGTTCTGCGCTTGATATGAAGCGGTATGGACTGTTTCTATTATAAGAATTATCAACATTTTATCTACTTATTCTTTCTAATAATAATCAAGAACTTTTAATATTTACGCAATGATAAGTTGAAATAAGTATCACAAGATTTTTGTTTACACATTACACGTTACAAAAATAAGGAAAGAAAAAGGAAAAAAAAAATTACATGAAAATCAACTAAATGATAAAATAGAAGCGAATGTACACGCGCAATATATAAAATTTTTGCCGGCCGTTATGACATCAAGCGTGAATGTATTCAGCACCGTAAAAACGTGCAAGAAACATTGTGAAAATAATTTATATCAGTTTGTTTGTAATTATCATATAAACGTAAGTCGTCAGATATTTTATTGTGCTATAGAAGGTTTTATTGTCGCATAATAATGCAGCAACACCGGGTGGAAACACAAATTCTCCACGAGGAGCAAATCCTGGAGGCAATAGATCAGTTACGTCGACGTAAAGCTCGACCCGATGCTGATCGTATCTGCAATTATTTACTACGGAAATTTTCCGTGGATGCACGAGATACTATTGCTGATCTTCATCGGTTAATCGAAGCGGAAAAAGTTATACAAGTTGACTATAAGGGTAACACTAGTTACCGAAATGCTTCAAAATGGTCACGATTACAACTTTATAAAAATCGACCAGAGGGTTTTGTGAAGGAGAAATTAAATTCTGGGATGGTAGCAGGTGCAGTAGCTGAACTTGTTGTTGAAGAACCAGATTATCTTGATCAAGGTGTACCAGCTTATAGGCTAATTGAACAGCTACTTGATGGTGTTTCAAATCCTACTTCTAGACGTATGGTAGAAGATTTTCTCGGAAAAGAAGTAGCCAGTGGTAATTTAACGCGTTTGGCTAATGGCAATTACTCGCTGGTGGCGACGTCTGACATGACAACCACCGCTGAGCCAACACATCGAGAATCTTTTACCCTCGAGAATGGAAACGCGCGACGTAAAGAATTACAAACTGTTTCCTCGACCACAGGTGGTCTTTATGATTTTGATGAAACAGAAAACTTGACAATTACGGACTCTAGGTCAAATACACCCAGATCTTCACATCAGGCAAGCCCCAAATCTGATCCTCAGATCAGAAAAGAAGAATGTTACGAGATAATCGTGGGAAGAAACGAAAATACCGAATCATCAGTAGAACACGATTCTATAAAAGAACAAGAATCACAGGAACCATCACAAACTTCTATCGAGGATGTGAAAGAAGAATTCAAAAATACAGATAATCAGACTCATAACCTTAAAAGGTCGTCAAAAGCTGAGCGTAAACAGCGCCTACTTGTTCGAACAGACGATCCTATGGACATAGAGATCAAATTTGAAGATTATCGAAAAGATAATAAAGAAGAAATAAATTCGCAAAAAGAAAAAAGAGAAGAAACTGGACATCTTAGTGAAGAACGAGAAGACGAGGATGCAGGAAGAAGTTCTACTAATCCTTCACCTACACCATCCAATACTAATGTTGGAGGTTTTCGTAGTGCTCGCAGAAAGGTGTGTGCTTTTTTTATGGTTTACTTATAATTTTCAGATTAATTTGTATATATCTAAAAAAATAAAAAAACTATATTTCAGAGAGCAAAAAAAGTGTTTGATCCTTCTGATAATAATCTTGTGAAAAGAAAACGTGGAAGACAACCAGGTTCACAAAATAAATCTACTATATCTCAAGAATCACAAGATTCTTCTAAAACAACTATTAAAGATGGACCTTGCAGACAATGTAGTCTTTGTGCCAAAGAAAAACAAGAAAACTTAGTTGCTTGTCGTGATTGTACTGTACGAGGTATTTTTATATTTAAAATTTATATATAAAATTTTTATTTTATATTATATAATTATAAATTTTATTTTATTTTTTTATTTTAATATATTAATATTATATAATCATTTATTTACAGCACATCCAAGTTGTATTTATAGTCCAGAAGAAATGATTCAAAAAGCAGGTAGTAATTGGCAATGTGAACGTTGTAAAAGTTGTACAATATGTTGTGAAACTTCAGATGCTGTAAGTGGAAAATATATAAAAAATATATTAGTTTATTCTTTTTCATATTGTAATTTAAATTAATTTTACAGGGACCACTTGCAACATGTTTTACTTGTGATGAAGCTTATCATTATTATTGCCATACACCACGTATAATAATTCCTAAATCAAATTCAAAATGGCAATGTAATGATTGTATTCAAAAGCAATATAAAACAAATATAAATCAAAATATTCATTTGGTCACTAATAGACCTGATACACCATCAAATCCTCCTGTTTTACCTCCAGTGTTAAGTCCTCAAGTTTCCCCTGCTAGAGGATCTTCTGATCAAATGGAAGATGATGGTCCAAGAGATGGAATTGATCCAAATATACCTGATGCTTCGGATTGGACATCTGAGCAAGTATATCAATATTTTGCAAGACTTTTTCCAAAAGAAGCAGAAGTGTTCAGACAGCAGGTATTTTTTTTTATTTCTGAAAATCCTATTTTTTGATATCTATTAAATATTCTACATATATGTTTCAGGACATTGATGGTCATTCTTTATTATTAATGAAACGGTCTGATGTATTAAGTGGACTTGATTTACTTTTAGGTCCAGCATTAAAAATATATAGGCATGTATTAAAATTACAAGTGCGACGAGATGATCCAAAACTTTATTGGCTGTAAATGCTTTAGAAACTTAAGGTTAGAATTATTAATTATACTGTACAGATTGATTTTTTTATATTTAAAAATTGAGTATTTTTTTGATTCGAGATAGTTTTTCATACTGTATATATTGTAGTTATCTTGAATTAAAAAAATAATTCTTTATTGTAAAGAAAATTTAAAAAATAACATAAAAAATAAAAAGCTGAGAACTGTTATTTGTTTTTTGTACAAATATTTTTGAATTAAATAGTTTAAATAATTTACCATTAATATAAACCTTTCCTTCTTAATATAATATTATATAAATACTTACATAATGACTGTAACCAATATTTTAAAAGGTGCTAATTTTTTCACTTGTTACATGTTGAAGATAAATTCATAGTAAAAATTCTAAAAATCGTTTTGATTAAATAAAATAGTATATATAAAATACAATAAATAAATATAATACATAAATATTTATCTTCATATTATTTTTTTTATTTTTACAATATATAATGAGATAACAAATATTAATAATACAATAAATTAGTACTATCCTATAAAAGGAACATACAGAATACTTTGGTTTGAAATATACTTTCTTATACATTAATTATATTAATATTTACAGCATATTATATTTTATATAATTAAAAGAAATATCTCTATTTTCTATTATAATATTTGTAACAACAATTCCTTTAATATGTATAAAACAATGAAAATCTACAATTTAATATTAAAGGAATATGACTGAAAGTTTGTGAAACAAAATTTTAATGCAAATGAATTCTTCTCATGATATACAGAATAGGTGAAATTTGTTATTATCAAAAATTTATAACAATAACATACATACCATTCTAACATTGGATATATTTACATTAATATGTTGATATCTATTTTGATTAAACTATGATATATTTTATAATTTTAACATTATAACAATATGAAATTAATATCATATTATATAACATAAATTATCCATATAACCATTTCATTTAACTTTTTATGTTAAAATTAAATTGTGAGGTATGTTTAATATTTTGTAATATCCTATTATATCTTACCTTAAATCATTTATAATTTATATCTTACATTGGTTATATAATTATAATCATAAAATAATTTATTTATTGTAAGAAAATTTGTTTCTAAAAAAGTAAATTTGTTTCTACATATTATATAATTATATTTGTTTCTATATAATGCAACTAAAATATATTATGTCCCAAAAAATTTGAAATTATATAAATAGTAATTATATATTTATTATATGATATAATATTAAAACAATATATATCAGTTTCAAAATTTTTTCAACTATATATATACTATATTTATTTCCATAATTGAAATATTTTATATAAAATAAAAATTAAGAAATGTCAAAATAAATTTCTAACTATAATTTTTACAAATATATTCTTTTTTACTTCAATTTTTATTATTTTTATATTAGAAAATTTCATTTTAATATAATATTAAACATAAATTATGTAAAAAATTATATGTATATATTAAATATACAAATATTTTTGAACAAAAATATTTTTTGAATTAAAAATAAAATTTAAAATATTTAACCAATGTAAGAATAATAAAATAAAACTAAAACAATTAAATCATAATTTTAAATAAATTTTGTTTTACATTTGTACATACATGATGTACAAAAATATATTAATATATAATAAATGCAAAAGCTTTTAATTTTTACTAATAAAGTACATAATTTGCAGTCTTATACATGTGCATCATTTTTTTATTTTGCAAATTTTATTTCAGTATTGATTTCAATTATTCTATCTATTGAAAAAAAAATAAAAATTGTTATTTTCTATTATAAAAAAACAATGTTATTCTGTACAAAATAATTTCTTCATATCACCATAAACTTTTTCCAGAAAATATTTTGTTATTTATTTTGATTTTTGTTTTTATTTCAAAATTTCAATTAATTTTTAAAATTTTATTTTTAGATATATATTCTTAGAACTTTATTTTTCATTTATGAATAGTTTTATTGAAAATTGAATGTGCAGTTGCTAATCATTGCAATCCATAAAGACTTATTATACATAATATAAAGAATTTATTAAAAACTGTTTTAATATACAGAAATTTAAATATTTCTCAAAATTGTTAAAAAAATTAGATAGAATTAATATACATTTAGCTAGACTTTCATATTAATTTCTGCTGAATTAACATTATCAAAATATTTTGGAGGAGGCTGTTTATGGAATGATGCTTCTGGTACATATAATGCAACTGTTGGAGAAATATCAGACTTTTCAATTAATATTTCTTTATAAGGATCAGTAAGTTTTTCTGGATACAAACATAACCAAAATGCAGACAATGCTGCTGCTGCAATAGCAGAAGCTAAAAGCCAATGTGGTAATCCAATATGTTTTGAAGCACATTGAAGCCAATCAGATCCAGGTATTGAAGCTGATTGGTCATTTTCTCCAGAGTAGTCTGATGGTACTCCATAATCCATTGTCTATATTTTCATAATATTGCAATCAATCAGATTTATATAATATATAATTTAAATAATAAATATATTTTATGAAATTTTATGAATACTTTGCAATTAAAATAAAATTCATTTAAAAATTTAAAAAAATTAAATCAAAATTTTTATATATCAAAAATTATTTTTAAATAACTAAATTTTTATCAAATTTTTTAAATTTATATTCCATCATATATAATCAAAAACTTACCCCAGCATCTAATGGAACAGTTTTAATATATGTTTGTGGTAATTTAAATCCATTAAAATCCCACCACCTTGGAAGAAGTTCCTTTCGCAAACCTGGATCACTTAAAATATCATTTTCAGGTATATCAGGTGACATTATAACTAAGTTAGAATCTACACCTTCTTCTATATAGACAGCAACAGAAAAGAGTGACAATAAATTTGAAACACGTTGTTTAGCCATAAAATCACAACCAGTACTACATGCATATCGATCTTGTGGAGCAATATATGCTTCTGTACATGCTATAACAAAATAAAGAAATATTTTGTTTAGAAATTTATTATATATATAGCAATATATATATATATAGCAATTCTAAATTCTTTAAAAAATTATTTAATAATTATTACAAAAAATATCTTTAAATTATGTTATATTTAAAATATAAAATAAATAATTTTATTAATTATAATAAAAAATTATATAAATTATCAACTTTATAATATAAATTTGTTCAATAATTAAAACATTTTAAATTTAATTTTTACTTAAATGCTATTATAATCATTACATGTTTTACATACAAGCTTCACAAGCATCCCTTGTACCATTTAAATTGTTTGGTTCTAATCCATAATGTAAATCCACTAAATTAAAGAATCTACAACCTCGTTGACAGCATGATTTAACATATTTACTCTATAATTAATAAATATCATCATCATCATTAATATGTTTGTAATGTATAAATTAAAAACATGCTAAGATAACACATACATTTGTAAAAGATAATGGTGTTTTTTCGCACAAATTAATACAAGGATCCTCTCGATTTACAAGACTACAAAACATATCACTACGTACAAGATTTATAAGAAATAACAACAATAATGAAATAATTTCTTTCTCTCTTCTCATTTCAGAAAAATTATTTTTTTCAATGATAGTATTTAGTGAATCAAAATAATTTGTTAGACGAAAAGACTTCACTCACAAAGAAGGTGATAGCTCGTCGAATAATCGAGTAAATATCGATTTAATTATAGCGAGAATGCATCGCATTGGTCGATATGTTCACTGTTTATAAAAATTTAGCAATGTTAGTTTTTAAAATTATAAATGTATGTCATTTTTTAACATTTTGAATATTTTAATTAAATTACAAATAAAAATTATTAAAATATTAATATTATAAATAAATATTATTTTACGTTTAATAATTTTTAATAGAAAAAAAAACGAAAATTATTATACATTCTTTTGAAAAAAAGAAAATATAATTCTTATAAATAAAAATTATTTATAAATATTATATCTTTTAATATTAAAATTAAAAAAATTTTTTAATAAAATAATAATGATTTATAAATAAAAAAATT